TCTTTGTATTTCATTTCAACTATGAATTTTCTATCATTTTATCTTCATCATTATTTCTTTTATGTCCATTATATCATATTCTCCATTTTCTATATTCTTTTATATTTCTCTTGTCTTTATATTCGTTCTTCTATATTTATTTTATCTATTCATAAGTCATATGAATAATATTTGTTATTATTATTCTTATGATATTCTTAAACCATATAATTCTGATTAATTTAAGAGTTTTCATTCATTGAAGGAATAATATGTTTATCTTCAAAATGACAAAATAAAAATACTCAAACATCGCTCTGAATTTGAATTACTACATTCAATATACTATCTACTTAGTATTCTAACACTTTATTTATAAGGAATTGATATGATATAAAAATGAAATAACAATTATTTTATTTTTAATTATTTTTATAATAACACAAATAAAAAACAAATTTGTTAAAAGATGAAATGAGCAATAAAAAAACAATACTTTATTGTTAAACAAATAAAATACTTTTATATTTATAATGATTATTTGTACTTCATAATATCTATTTGTTTCTTCTTTAAATCCCTTCATTACTCTTCTTTGATTTATTTCATCTTTCTTGTTTTATTAACTCGTATTCTGTTTTTTATTAAGTTTCTTTTTGATTTTACTCTTTATCCTAATTATATTTTTTAATTATGTGTTCTTTGTTTATCTTAGTTTGACTTTAGTTCTTTTATTCAGCTTTTTGTATATTCTTCTGCTCAAAAAGAACAATAACCTTTTTTAACAATCACTCAATAATGAAAAAATATATCTAACAAGGTTTTCTCTTCTTGATTCAAAATCATCATAACTTAATTTACTTAATAAATGAGAACAACATTGTTCATCAAACTCAAAATGAAATCCTGTGATGAGAATTTTTCCTTTTCCATACCTTCTAGTATAACCACATTTTTTACCATCTTCATACAATGCAAAATGAGTACCCTCTACTTTATTATTATTATCATCAAAATAACAACCTCCATTATAATAAACATATGCATAGGTATTCTTGTACTTTATCTTTACTATATGTGCACCTGACTCACTATTTGGTTGATATCCATCATACACTGGACCAATTGCATTTCCCTCATAAAATTTTAAGTAACGTTCTCCTTCAATAACTAATTGAGAAGTTAAAAAGAACTTAATGTTGATGATGAAAAGTATGCTCCAGCACACATCCCTAAGAACTTTCCCCCCATTGAAAACAAACGACTTAATCAGTTCAATTCCATCAATCTGAAGTTTATCAAGATAAGGTAAATCCTCACCTCCTGGTATGACTAACAAATCAGTACTTTCAATCCATTTGTTCGTCTTAATTTCTGAAGAAGAAATTTTAAAAATATTAGCACAAGGGAAAAAATGATGAAACAATTGAATTGTGTTATGAACACAAAGAACGGATGTTCCAATGTCATTATACACTCTGATAGTGTTAATCATCAAAATGAAATAAATAAAAATAAAGATTATTAATAACAATGTGATTAAAAATATGAAAAAACATGTTTCAAAAAGAGTTTTCTTCTCATTTCAAATTCACTTTTCTGATGTTCTTTAAGCATTTTACCACACCATTCTATGTCCAACTCAAAATGAGGACCAGAAAGAATAACTTTTCCTTTACCAATAGTGTCAAAGAACAAAGCATTCATTCCATTTTGATATTTTGCAAGAAAATGATTCTCTTTGTATTGATTTAAATTGTCAACAAATGAACATCCTCCATTATAATAAAGTTCTACTTTTTGATTATTTTGATAATAAATAGGAATTATGACAGCTCCTTGTTCAGAGTATTCTTCAAATCCTTGGTATATTGGTCCATGTGCAATACCATTGAAAAGTTTTAATGTTCTTTCTTCACATAGACTTAATTCATTTGGAATATCTTTATTAAATTCAATAAATGATGATGCAAAATATGCCCCTGCACAAATTCCAAGATACTTTCCACCATTATTAATAAATTCTTTCAATATTTTGACTCCTATCCCATTAAGTTTTTTGTGAAATGGACGATCAGCACCACCTGGCATAACAAATAAATCAGTTTCAGAAATCCATTTACCTTCAATTAATTCATTAGCATATATTTTTCTTATTCTAGCTTCTTGGTATTGAGAATGAAGCATTTTCATTGAATAATAAACACAAACATTAATAGTTCCTTCATCAGCATAAATAACTATAGATTTTATTGTCATAAGAAATGTTAATTCTCTTTAATCATCCAAGTTCTTTTATACTTTATCTTTATTACTTTTTAACTTAATAAATCTGCGAAAATAATTCAATTTAAAACTTCATGAAGAACTAAAAGTAACTTTTCTGCAATTTGGTGATGTGCTTCTGATGTGAAATGAACACCATCTTCTCCAACACTCATCCCATCTAAATCAACAAACCCATCTATTATTTCTTGCTTTTTCCATAATTCAACAACACTTTTTAATTGATGAACAAATTTCAATGATTCTTCAATCACTGGATTTACTGTAGATTTCCAACTTTCAAACGTACAATATTGAAGTGGTGGTGGAATTAAAACAATTATTTTTGTTTGTTTTTGAACTTTTCGATATATTGTTGTAACGCATCAATAACTTGTTGTGAAGTTGCTTTTGAAAGAATATCATTAATACATAATGCAAGGACTAATACTTTGTTTGTTGAAAATGGATTGGAGGTAATCTTTAATAAGAATTGATCATATTCTTTTAACCCATTAGTAATACCAAATGGTATGTTTTCATATTTTAATGAACGAGCAGGTTTTCCATCAACAATACAATTGACTTTTGTAAATTCTTTTTTCAATTGTTCAATTACAATATTAGAAAATCTGTCTTTGGAAGAATAACGTTTATAAGTCACAGCTTCAATACCATAAAGATTTGAATCTCCATAAAAGAATATTGAAAGTTCATTCATTAATAAAATTGTTTTTATTAGATTTAAAACTAAATTAAAAATAACAAATTATTTATTTCTGATAATAACAAGATTTTAATTGAGGAGGTGATAAATACCATTCAGTGTTAATAAATTCACTTTCTTTTGATCGTTGGGAATAGAAATTCTTTATAAAATCTTTTTGAATCATTTCACTATTAATTTTACTTTCATTAAGCACCAGAGTATAAACTATAATTGGACTAATTATTTCAAATACTGATAATGAAGATAAAGTGAGTCAAGACAAGGTGGTAATTCTACATTCTGAGTAATACAATTTTCAATGTGAAATTCCTTAACATTAATATAATTTAAATCCTTAAATGATATATGATTTTGTGATAAACCAAAACATGATACAGTTAATGAAGTCAAAGAAGTAGGAAGTAATATTAGATATGAAACTAATCCTAATATTTTTAAACTACAAAGACATGAATAATGATATGTATTATGTTCTTTTAAAGAAACATTTAATACTAATTGTGTAATTGGTAATTTCTTTGGAAGAGAATTAGAATAACATTGTAAAAATTTTAATGAACTAGGATAAAATGATTCAATACTAACATTTTTAAGAGTTTTGTTTATGTGTAATACTTTTAAATTTGTTAATGAACAAAGACTATTACATGTGTTACATGACAAAGACAAATATGTTAACATTGGACATAATGAAATTGGAAATAGTTTATTTGAACATAAAGAAAGTCGAAATAATTGCGAATAATTAGAAATTTGAATAAAATCAGTGATTGTTATGCTGTTAAATTATTAGGAAAAGATACATCTTGAATATTTTTTCCTTGAAGATATAATTCATTAAGAGAAGATATTTTATAGAAATATTTTGATTCTAGATGTGTTAGACTTATTGGTGGATTAAAATAATTGAAGAATTTGTTGATTTGATTGATTTTATGAATGTATATGAACTAAAATCCATTTTAATCTTCTTTTTACTAAATCCATTTATTTTAATATGCTCAGGATAATATTGAATTAATATTTCATTGTTAAATCCTTTTTCTGTTATTTCAAACTCATTAATTAATTGTTTATTATGAATAATAACACTATTAGACATATTATTATAACATTCTTTGTAACAAAATGTAATTCTTTTGAGAAGTTCTTTATTTTTGATGACTGATTCTAATATTTCTTGTTTATCAAACTCAATAACTACTTTCTTAATATTAAATCGATCAATGTGATTAATAAAATTTGTATCAACAAATCCTTCCATTAAAACATAACCTTTTTCAAAATGATGATATCTATTTCTAATAAAATCATTAACTCTTAAGTGATTTTTAATAATAAGTGATAGACTTGTTAAAGATATAAATTCTGAAAGATCAAAAGAGAATTTAGGATTTTTTTAATGACAATGAAGCAATTCTTTCTTTCAAATAATTATTTTTAATATTGTAGATTCTGGACTAATAACAGGAAGTCGAATTATTTTAATTTGTGATTGAATTAAAAGAAGAAATTGAATTGTTTGTTCTGTAAACTAGATTGTTTCTAGATGAGGAAATAATTTCATTTCTTTTACAAATGATTTTTGGAGTTGAAAATTACATTCTTTAGTATGAAAATATTCATTAGCTTTCTCAACAGAATATGATGGATTGATATGTAATAATTGAAGTGAATCTTTACATTTTTTTATTTATTAATGTAAACAATTCAGCTATTCTTATCCTACTAAAATATAATACAATATTTGAGAGATAAATCTCTTCAACTTGTATCTTTTTTTAATCATAATAAATGATTGATTTAAGATTAATTTGTTAACACCTTTTTGAAAAGAATTAGATTTTTGGCTTTTCATTTCTGTTTAACACTAATCTTCTTTTTTTGTTTATTTAGAATTCATGTGTGGGAGAAGTCCTTCATTCCTTAACAAATTTCTTGAAATTAAATCAGCTAGTCGAATAGGCTCTGGGATTTTATGTAAACAACATTCTTTACATATAATTACTGCTGTTGAAAGTGAAACTTTATGCCCACAACTAACAACAATTGGATTTATACTACCACCCCTACTTCTTATAACCCCACACAACACTTCTCCACTTGAAGTACTAATTGTCGTTGATTCACCTGCTTTGATTTGTGAAGTAACTATGTTAATCTCCTTCTTTCCTATCCCATCAACACATAATACAGTCTACATTGTTAGAGTTATTTGGTGAATAAAACTCAAAAATTACAAACCTTTGCAACACCAATTGACGGTATATCACAATAAATTCCAACATGAGTTGCAGAACCAAATCTTCGAGGATGATAGTATCCATTCCCATCAACAAGAACAACTTCTGGATATAACTCAGGATACTTTTCTTTACAATTGTTTAGTAGTTCATGATAAACTTCTACTTCTCTAAACCAAGAAATCCTGAAATATAAGGAACCGTAATTATTTTACGACATGTTAATGTTAATAACTCTTTTCCAGAAGGATATTCACAAATAACTAAACAACCAATTGCAAGGTTTGGGTGATTTGTTGAAAATGATATATCTAATCCCTAATCATTAATAATTTTATCATACTAACTAATAACCATCTAGTCATAAACAAAAAATAAACAAACCCCAACATGTCGTAGTGTGTCTAAAGTCCATTCATGTGAGTCTTCAAGTATTACATCTTTAGAATGTAAAATTTGATACTTTTCCCATTGTTTTTCCATTAATTAATGTTTTTAAGTTTAAACTCACTAAAAATAAAATTAAAATAAAAAGTAGTTAATTAAGTATTAATAGAACTAAATTCCTATTATTCCTGCTTCACCGGAGACTAATCCCGTCAATGAGTCTTCATCTATCAACTCTATTGAGTGTGTTTGATTGTGGTAGAATCAGTGTTCCATGACATCCATCATGTTTTTAATTACAAGGTTTTTGATTTCTTTAGTGATGTCATTTTCGATTTTTAATTGTTTAATTAATTTAATACTTTCAAAATTTATTAGCCCATTAATCGAAATTACTACTCCAATTATTTTGACATCCTTTAATTTCTCTATTTTAATTACCCTATTTTTTAATTCTTATGCATGTTTCTTTTCTTCCAATAGCCTCAATTAATATTATGATATGCCACAATAGTCATATCAAATATTAGACCAGTTTTATTCTTTTTATTTATTACATATATGTCTGGTCTTTTATGATATAGTCATTCACTTTTTGGCATTATTTGTTTGTTCCATATCATAGTAATGTCATTGTATTGGAACATTGTTTCATATGGAGATTTCTTGTATTGATTATTTCCTGTGTATTTTCTTATTAACCAATATGATAATTCCAATATTATCATATTTTTCAATTTGTGATTTCTTATGACCAATACAATAGTAGAATATGTTCTACTGTGGATATCTTGTATTTACAAAGTGGGCAGTATTTTAATCTTTCATTTTTTATTATTTTATCTTTCCTGTACCCACTAAATATTGCTCCATCTTGTATTTTAGTTAATTGGAGAAATATATTTTTCTTTATATTGATGGACTTCAATGCATTTGTTGTAGTATTTTATCTATAAATTTTGACTCGAACCATCTTCTAAAATGTCAACTTGTTTGATTTCAATTTTTTGATGTATTTGTTGGTCATTAATTTCTTTATTTTTAATACTACTTCTTTTTCTTTTTTATTTTCACTTCATTTATTATTTCTTCTATTTGAGTATCTCCGATTTTATGACTTAGTGCTTTTTTAATTTATTCTATATTCATTTCTTTGAATACCATCTATCTAATATGTTATTTCTTATTTCACTCTTGTACAATAGTACATTACTGTTCTGATTATTTCATTAACATATTCGTCCTTTAGGCTTATTAATCCTTCACCTATTTCATTTATATTGACATATAGACGGTCTTTGGAGTTACACCAATGTATTTTGCCTTTCTTAAATATTTTCTTATCTCAAAATCCATTCTATCTATGTTACATTCCAATTTACTACTGATACTGAATATCTTCAGATTGGTATTACTTCAATATTAATTCTTGTAATATATCTTCTATTACTACTTTCATCAGTATTTATTTCTTCCATTTTCTTCATCATCTTTTATTTGATGATTTTACAATTGAAGGTATCATTAATTTCATCGGACTGCCATACACCTAAATATTTATACAAGTCCTCTCCTTCAATTATTGGGATGTTTTGCATTCCATTTGGTATTTTATTAATGTTCTTTAATACCATTCCTGATTTATTTTCATTTCCATCCCTTATAAAATGAAAATAAACAATAACAATAATAAAAATAATTAAAACAAAAGAAGAATAGAAAATAAAGAAATAATCAATGTATTGAAACAATAAATCATCAGTAAAAGTGAATGTTTTATAAAAGACTAACTTTTATATAGAAGATAAAACAAATAAGAATAATAAATGATCAGGTATTATAAAACAATTTGAAAGGATAATACAGGATATAATAAATATTAATGAAATATTAACAAAATAAATGAGGTGTATGAATGTAAAAATATAATATGAACAGTCTGTTCAATAAAATGAAATAGTCTTAAATGAACAAAATGAAGTAAAATAATCAATATCTCCTGAAACACAATTTAATACATTTTCATTTTAGATTTAATACTTAAAAAGAATAAAAGTTAAAATACAAATAATTCCAATTCCAATAAACTCATTCTATTTTTAATTGAAATCATTAAAAACAATTAAAAGACTATAATTAATAGTTTATGAACTATTAATATATAAAGCAAATTAGTAGTTTTAATTTAAATACAAAACACTCACCAACAATGGAAAACCAAGAAAAGAGTAAAACAGCACAACAACCAATTGAATAGTTTGTTCATTTACAAAACTGCCGTACAGAGATAGAAAGATAATACAAAAACAAGAACTAAGAATCAATAACTTAGAAACTAACATAGAATTAATGTTAACAAAAACTACAATAGTGAAGAGATTTCTAAGACTATTAATGAGAATGAAGAAGTATATGAAGAAGTAAGAAGAATAAAAGAAGAGAATGAAAGAACAAGAAAAGAACTTAAATGGATGAAATTGAAATAGAAAAGAATACATTAAATATAGAAGTACAGAGGTATCTAATGGAGAAAATGAAGAAAAAAAATGAATGAAGAAGTTATAAAAGAATTGATAAAAGAAGAATTTACAAAGAAATATCTTCAGAAGATAAAAGATGAAATAGAAAATAACAAGAAAGAAAACAATAATCCAATAAAAAATAACACAACAATACGTCATTTAAAGATACAAAAATACTCTGGCAAAACAACCACACAACATTCTAATATTTTCACCAAACGACATAACCCTTGATACAAGTTATATAAAACAAATAGAAGAATGGACAAATAGAAAAATAGGAAATATAATATTTGATTCAAATATTGATAATTGGAATGTTAATACATCAATATTTAATCAAAGAATAAAGAACATATAATAATTATTATTGAATATACAAATGGAAATAAATTTGGAGGATATGTTAATATGAAAATTGATAAAGTTGTTATATAAATGACTCAAAATCATTTTTATTTTCATTAGAATCAAAAGGAAGAATGAAGAATGAAGAAATTTAATATTGAAGATTCACAATATGCATTTTATTTATGTAATCAAACAAGTAATTGTTTGTTTTCATTTGGATATATACATGATATTTGTGTTTATAAAGAAAATTATAAAACAGTGTCATATTGTAAACAACAATCATTTGAATATGAAAATTTTCAAATGCACTTTGTGGAGAAGAACATTTCACGCTAAAACGAATCATAGGAATTGAAATGATTCAATCATGAATAATTGAAAATGAAATAAAAAAAAGAATAAAAACAAATCAATGAAGAATATGAACAGTCATTTTGTTCATCTGCCAATGAATGAAATGGTAAATTAACAATTGACATAATTTAATGTTGATTTAATTTATTTCATTTGAAATACTCACACCTAATGTGTTTTTAATAAATAAGAAAAGAAAATACTAATTTAAATAAAATGATAAAAGTGGTGATATTAATTAATTTAATAATAAATAATTATCATGAATTTCATCATTATTATTATAAATTAGAAAATGATTGAATACTTATTATTTATTGTTTTATTTCTCTTATGTTTTATATCTTTATTCAATTCATTTGCTTGTTTTATTTCTATTCTTATTTCATTATTTATTTGTTATTCTTTATGATTGTATTTATATGATTTTATCTTCTTTTGTTATTTATATTTATTCTCTTTATTTTCATCTTTTATTTAATGTTTATTATCATATTTTATTATTTAATGATGAAATAATAGTTGTTAGTTATTTAATTATTATTTCATGATATTGTATATTATCATTGATTTGTTTTTCACTATTTGTATTCATGTTATCTTATTTTATTGTATTTATTTCATTTTCAATATTAAATTTTGATGTTAAATGTTCTATCTGATGTATTTGTTTTATTTTAGTTTATAATAAAAATGTTTAATAAGAAAATTGATTGTTATTGAATGTTCATTACAACTTTTATTTATTTCTTTATTTTTCATTTAATTGATTCAATTATTACTTAATTAGTTCTGCATCCACATTTCATACATGTGTTTGGTTTACGTAATTTACTGTAACATTTTCCACATGCTTTTGCTGGTGTTGCATTTCCAAGTGTTTTTCCACAAATCAAACATTTCGATCCTCCTTTTCTACATGAATGACAAAGAAGTACAACTGACACACTCTTCAATTCTGATCCACAGAACATACATTATGTTTTACACCCTGTGCAAACTGACATTATTTTTTTTTCTCTTTCTTTTTCTTTTTATATTCTTTTTCTTTTATTTTTATATTCTTCTTTTACATTGCTTTTTTTACATTTGAATGACTTATAAATGAATTTAACATCATTCTATTGATGTTTAATTATTATAAACATTAATTATATTCTATTATTACATATTCTAAATTATGAAATGTTTAATTGTATTGTTTGAATGAAATAATCAATTATCAATGTGATGTTAATTTAATTTATTTCATATAAAATTTCAATGAAGAATTTCTTCTTTGATGTTTATTTTATTATCGTTTGTTATTTAATTTCTATTTGTTATTATCACTTTTATTGTTTCATTTATTCTTTTATATTATGATTTGATTTGTTTTATAAATCTTCATTATAATATATTGAAAATTATTTATGATAAATAAACAAAATGTGAATTAAGTAATGTTGAATTAATTATTATTTTAATCTCTTTCTATTATTACAAACAATATCATTTTTTATTTCATTCATTATATTTATAATGTTGAAAATTGAATAATATTTAATGTTATTCATGGTAATAACATATTCATTTAATTCAAATGATAAAATAAAAAGAATGAAAGAATAACATGAATGTCATTAAATAAATAACAAATTTATTTGTATTTTATATTTGATTATTTATTTCTTATGTTATTCTTATTTATCATTATTATATTTAATTATATACTTCATTTACATTATTGTTGATTATTCTTTATTTCATCATATTTGTATTTCTTCTTTTATTTTCTATTCATTTTCATCTTTCTTTTATTTGTTCATATTATTTAAATGTTATATTTAATCAATTTAATAAACATTATTTCATATAATATTGATT